ATTGAATTTTTATTGGTTAAATCTGGTAGCAGGAAGAACCACAACAAAAGACAGAACGAGGAAAGACAATCCGGATGGTTTTATCAGAGGTCAGACACCAGTTCAAATTGTGAAACAGAACCAAAATCAGTGGAGGATGAGGCAATGTCAAATCCTTAGGAAGAAAAATAAGCTCTTTGTGCAGGAACTTCAATATACACGTAAATTTTGTTTTGATGAGCTGAAGACATTTATTTGAGCCAAAGGAATCTGTAATGTCTTCCCTGCCACGAATACGTACATGAAATGGCTTGTTTACAGGTAGAAGTTAAAAGAATGTGACAACAGAAGCGGGAATAATGGCTTGGTAAAAAAAAAAAATGGAGGGCATGAATTGGGAACAGAGCAAATTGAGAGTGCTGGAAGGAAAGAAACATAAAGTAAGCCAACACAAACACAACAGACCCATTGACACTTTGCCCTTACGGAAGAAAACAGAAAAGGAATCCACAATAAACAATCGCTCATTTATCCAGCGTACTTAACCTCCGAGCGACTAATAAGCTCGCCAAGCTCGGGTTACGACGATAGTGAAGAAGATGTTTTGATTTTTGCAGCAGGAGGTAATGCTTCCCATCAGCAGCCTGATGCCCTTACAAGAGAAGATGTGAGGAATGACCCTCTGATGGATTTATAATTCCTCAACTAACCACAGACACGGCAAGAAAAACAATTCCAGGAAAATAATCAACCAAATGACAGAGCGCTATTCTCTGCCCCGTCTGACTTGAGGGTATAACAAGCCCACACAGAGTAAGTCAGAGCAGCGCAGACGGGGCAATCTTAGCGTCAGCAGCAATAATTCATCATCTCCTGGGCTGTGGGTGCTATCGCAGCTGGCAAAGCAGCGCTGCGACTCCGATGACTGATGCTCAATCAATTAGAGGCAAACAGTCGAGAGCAGCAAGCGAAAGCTTGCAACGACATCGCATTCCATATCCTTCGTATACACACACACAAACGACATGATAAGTGCCCCCTCAGCAATTACTGCAGCGTTTTATTTATATTAAAACAGGATGTGCTCAGTGTTCGTGATGACTTCACTTGAGGCGAATGACGGCAAACATTCAACGAGGCTTATTTCCAAAATATATATCGCTTATTAAATTTTTATGAGGGGAAGAATTAAGTAAGACTTTACATACCATAATTCATTCCCATCTACAGAAGGAAGGAATATTTCTAGAAAAAAAATAATCTGATCATATCTCTATGCCATTTTGAACTGTAATCCCTCCATAGTGGATCAGCGTGTAAATGGAAGAAACAACTTTTGATGGAAAACCGGACATGGAGGCGAAATGAGACAATATTTATTCAGTTGTTAGCTTTTCCTCTAACGGCCATCCATCACTCGCACTGGAAACACTGAGAGCAAAAGTACATACGAGGGAGACGGATGGCGAGGTGTTTGAGGAGGGAAGAGGAGCGTTTAATAAAACACGGAGCGCGTGCAGCGAATTAATCTCTGGATTGATGTAAGGCAGCGGCGCTCACCCTGCGTGCCAGACCCAGGGCGATGTAACACTTCTCTCCAGCGTCTGTGATCTCCAGCTCGTAGTAGTGGAAGCGAGGGTTGAGAGGTCGCCGAGCCTGAGCCAGGCCCACGTCCATGATGCCCTTCCCTTTCCCCATGTACTCCAACAGCTGTGGGTGTGAGAAGAAAAATGGCCCCGACATCACTGGCTGACATCAAATCAATGATTTTAAAATGTTGCACAGAGATCAATATGATTTGTATTTTAATTTTGAGAGAGAAATTTGCCTTTTAAAGGGCAGTGTTGGGTATTCTCCAGGGACAGCGTCATTTTATAGCACAAACAAACAAGTGTGCTACCTTCAGTTGTTATTAAAAATGCTTTATATGTCAAATATAACTTTAAAGAAATGTGACTTGGTAATTTTAAGAAATTAGGTCTTTGTCTCTTTAAAACTCCTGCTCTTTCTGAAACGCCTCCTTCAGGAAGTCATTACAACATCACTCCTCCATTAACCCTTTAACAACATTTTTACCAGCATTACACTGAGAAGTAGCTCATATAATGAACTCAGCAGAAGCTCGTTTCCACCAGGTGTTTGCTAATTTCTGCTGGCTAGTCTGAAGGAGCAGAGTGGGGGAGTCAGAGAGAGGACTGCTTTTTAACGCAGGTCTTTAAAACTTGTAAACTGCAGCTCCGAGGAGAAGCTCCGCCTAGAAGGTGGAGCTATGTCCACCCAGGCTTTCTGCACAGCTGAATGGTTGCCATGGAGATTAAAGGGTTTCTCAAACATGCATGAAAGACTCAAGACAACACTCCAGGTATATTTTTAATGAGAATAAAACTTAAAGCAAAGAAAAGTCAATTTTACACAACACAGCTCCTTTAAGTAATTTTAGAGAAACAGTTTCAGTCTTCTGTCCAAAGCAACTGACTTTTACTGCTAGAAATAGATGCTCTGCTTCCTTTTCCTCTGAATTTAAGCGAAATAGTTCCCTTATATGCAGCAGAAAGATGTCATCTTCTCCTGAACTTGTTGGAAATAAAATAAACTCTCAAGAGAAGTGAAAGCTAGCAGCCAGTCAGACATACACTTCCTGCTTTAGCTGACCTTAGCCATCAAAATGAAAGCATTCACATCAGCTGGATAAAGCTCTGCGTTTTATTCAGATGTAAACACTTAGGCACATCTGGAGCTCTTCCAGCTGAGCTGCCTCCGTGTTTCTAAGCTTCATGGTTCGAGTCATCCGGCTGCGTCAACCTGCCAGATCTATTGGGTTTCTGCCTCAGTTGTGCAGCAGCAGCAAATAGGTTTTATACCTGTTTGATAAATATTCAGGCGGAGTCACATTTACCTGGTGAGGCAGATTGATTCAGTGTACATAAGTCCAGTTAGTCAGCTTCCATCAGCCTGTGAAAATGAACTCAATTCTCCAGATAGGAGAGCAATTATAGACGATAATGTCGCAGTAAGTCCAAACTAACCCTTCAGTGTTAAACTGTTTATCTGTATGGAAATCGGTTTTGATTGGTTTGAAATCCCCACCTGGTGTGATGCTACGGTTTTGGAAGCGGCAAACCGGACACACAACATGATGCTACCACCACCGTACACAGCAGTCGTTTTCTTAGCTTTTAAAACCTAATTATGTGATTGGCCAGTTTGAGGTTGGGGATTTGTTAAAGCCGCTCCAGAAGTTTGTGTTTAGGATCATTGTGCTGTTGGGACACCTAGTTTTGCCAAAGAATCAATCATCTGTGAAATTAGAGATGAGGAATTTGGTTAGCAGTGGGACCAGTAAGTGTGCCTCGCCAATAGGATTCTGACTGCTTCTTTATCCATAAATTAATTTTCCAAAAACCTTTTTAATCTAACTAGGCCATTTTTTGTGTGCATTTACATGATACCAGGCCATTTATATTGATCAGATCCCCTGACTCTGAATTGCTTCTCCTCATGTAGGAGTGCTGTTGTGATCTGGGGATCTCTGCCCCCTGCAACAGGAGAGTCCACAACGTGAGGAAAACTGTGAAATCCCACCATTAATCTCTATGAAAAATGCGTGAAAAATGTACAAGTAAAGTTGATTTTAACCAAAGTCTACTGAGCTCAACTCCCAACTCTGAGAAAAAGCAGGGCTTTGATTGGGATCAGTCGGCAAAGACATAATCTATGACAGTTTCATAGCTGCTTAGATCTGGAGCCGATTTAAAATAATTTCTATGGTTATTAAAATACATAGACCTGTCTCGTAGTAAGGATAACTACACACACATGCTCCAGCTGCAGCTCTGTTATTAAACATTAGGTATTAATCAACAACTCTGGGCAGCTGCGAACACTTACACCTGTATTCGACAAAAAAAAAAATGTAGCAGTCAAATTATGTTGATCAGAGTGTCTCTTTCTTTCTCCCTCTCAATGGAGACATTGATAGCAAAAATCAGTGATTCTTTTAATTAAACATTTCGACAATCATTGCAGGATTTAATGTATCTGAATGTAAACTCCTTAAAACCCTGTAAAATGCAGCCCGAGTTGGTTTAAATATTGTTTTTTTTTTTTAACTTGTGGGGGTTTAAAGTTAAGAGAAAATATAAACTGCAGAGGATGAAAACTAGTTTACTGAAATGAAAGGCTGGGAATATTCAACCTGTGAAATTATATTAGAAGTCAACTGTGAATTTAAAATGCACTCTTTTTCTGAAATTCATTTAACTTTTATTTCCACTCTGAAAAAGAGAACGATTTCAATAAAGCCTTAATAATAAACCCAAATTAATCTTAGTGTCACGCCAACGATGTAGTTTATGTCCATTTCTGACCAGCTGGAGCTAAAGCCATCTTTCATTTCCTCTGTAAATCATACACATCATAAAGAGACTGTAAAGCTTTAAAAGGTAATTTAATGACTGCATTGGCTGAAGGTATGGCACCTCAAGTTTGTAATGTAAAAGAAAAGCAGGAGTTTATAATCTCCTGCTTGTGTAAACCTGCAGTTTTCTGCACCAGCATGATGGCAGATTTTATTTGTGAAAATGGGAGATAAAAGATTATTTTAAGCCATCTAAGTAGAACATAATGAAGAAAAACCTAAGATCACCTCATAAACTATTGCCAAATAGTTTTAAACACCTCTCCGATGTGGAGCACCGTTAATGTCGCGGTGGAAAATAAGTGTTAACGTTTCCTGACACATGTGAGCGCGTTTGGGTCATCAATGGAGGGAGCTTGGGTTGCACCACCTGCTAACAGTAAAGCTCACGTCTGCTGCTTTAATCTGTCGGGTTGTCACTTCTAGACTCAACATCGAGAGCTGCTGAATGTGTCGGGACAAGCCGGGCTAAAAATCCCAGGAGATTCGGAGATGCACAGCGTGTCGGCGCAGTTCACAGCCAAACCATCACTTTCTGTTGCAGCTGAACTAAAGACACGCCACTCTGGCTCCGAGATAAAACAACGTCGATGGTTTATTCATCATGCTGAGCAAGCAGAGTTTGTTCAGTAGACTGTTTATGCATGACAGTTTGTACAGTGAATGACAAAACTCCCAGCATGAGGCCTGCAGCACGGTCAAATAAGAGCCTTCAAGTTAAGTTTTACAGTTAAAAGTTGTTCTATTCAAGCTTCAGAAAAAGAAATTAAAAATTGTTTTAGCCGGTTAACTAGAACCATTTTTATTTCATTACATTAAAGGTAACTTTTGTAAAAATATCTCTTTTTGCATATTTGTTTGAACTATCACTGTCCTGACAATACAATATGAGATAATCTGTGAGAAAAAAAAAACTTCCTTCTCCCAGTACTGTCTGCACAAATATAGTAGCGCATCAGAAACAACCAGAGCAAAGAGGAGGGTTTTAGCGCTGTCAATTACCCTCGTGTACAAGGCGCTCGCACCCCTTCACCCATTTGCTCTCTCCTAACGACAGTTTTCCTATAAAACCACTGAATCCAGCTTCGCTGTGCTATTCCCAGGCAGTCAGCAGTCGTTACGGAGAAGCCCAGTTCCCACTGCTTTTGTCCCTTCTCCGCTCTGAACTGCAGAGCAGCAACAAGACGCTGGAAAATGAGAGATCACACAATAAAGCCAGTGATACAAAGGATGAGTGGTATTATATCAAATACTGGAGTTCTCAACTTCCAGAATTAATATTTTTCCTCCATTGCTCTTCTAAACGTCAGACAAAGTGAAAAATGAACAGTAATCTAGATTACTTTAAACACACTCGGTGTGGGTCACCAGGTCAGATACATAAATCATTTGTGTAGATTTTTTTTATATCTCAATAAATCTTAACCACACCAGATTGTAGCCTTATAAACATTCACATTAATTTAGTATCTACACACGTTATGAAAGTGACTGTCCAGTAATCATGGCTGCATGATTCGCACTTCTTGGTCTAATCTGTGATTTAACCACATTAGACACCTATGGTGTGCTCCCATTCAAAGGAGAAAGGTTTAGTGGAAGAACGGGAACAGATACACTTTCTGTAGATAATAACTATTGAAATCTAAAGCTCACAGTACATCTAACAGCTTTCACAACTATATGCAGGGGAAGCCTTACTCCCTGAAGCTTAAGCAACTCTGCAACACTGATATGATCCGTTTAGTCAAGGTGTATAGACTGCTCAGTTCATCGGATCAGGGACATTCAGCTGACGTAGAGGCTCATTTGCTTTCTAAACGATCTGCAAACTCAGAATAAACAGAGTGCTGCAGCATCTAGATGGCACAAGGCTGATGCTGCACAGAGCAAATGCAGACAAGATGACTCAGGATGAGCAGAAGTACGTCTGAGCAACTTTTCGTTTCATATGTTGCATCTCTGCCTCTCTTTCTTCTATGAGCTACAGTGACTGACAATAATATTCATATAATTTGACTTTATAGGTATTTTATTTGACAGACCAACACAAACATGGCTAATTATCTAAACTGATACAGCTTCACGAAAACCAAACACAGCAGATCCTTCAGTCTCCTTGAGGACAAGTTTGAATCACATTTAGGTTGCAAAACTCAACAAGGACGACGATATTCTGAGAAGCAGCTAAAAGATCCTGGTAACCCTGAGGAAGCTGCGGAAATAAACACCTCAGGTGAAAGGACACCTACTAGTTATGCACTCCACAAATCTGGGTTTTATGGAAAAATTAAGGGAAAAAAAGCCATAGTACAAATAAAACTTTCAAGAAGTCAGTGTTTTAAATTCAACACAAGCCGTGTAGGAGGCAGAGCAAACCTGTGGAAGAAGGTGCTGTGATTAGACGAGACCAAAACTCAACTTTCTGGCCAAAATACAAACAGTCTTCACGGAGGAAATCCATCACCCTAAAGAGTTTCATAGTGAAACATGGTGCAGGTTCTATCATTTGGTAGAGACTCATTCTCTTCTGGGAAGGTGGGTAGTGCTGAATACAGGAAAATCCTGGGAGAAAACCTGTCATTAAAAGCAAACGACTTAAGACTGGAGCAGAGCCAGGGAGACAACAACCCTGAACATAAATCAATGGGGTGGTTTAGATTCCAGCATATTGATGTATTAGAACAACCTGGTCAAAGTCTAGACCTAAATCTGACAGAATCTGCAGTAAGTCATGAAAGCTGCCGTTCACAGACAGTCCCTCCATCAAATCTGACTGAGCTTGAGCTGCTCATGAGCTAAGCTAAATGACTTAATAGAATGTAGATCACAGTTTTCAAATTTTTATTTGTGAAAACTAAAAATGAAACTTTGCACAATTTTCCTTTCACTTCGTAAAAACGCTACCTTGTGTTGGTCTAACGGATTAAATCCTAATACATAGACGGTTGCAGAAGCAATGTGACAAAATGTGGAAAAGTTCAGGAATAATAGCTACTTTTGCAAGGCACAGAACGTTCCGTTTTGTTTTTTGATACATTTTTTAAGTAGTTTGGGTTTTTTTGGGGGGGCGGGGGGGACGAAACCTGCCAAAATATTCAGAGGGAGACTTGGTAAGTGTTTCTAGGTGTGAGGTTTTCTTTGCTAAAGCTAGAGAACGGGCATATTTAATTAACTTCACCCATTTAACACAGCACTTACATTATTTATTCAGACAATTTATCATATTACTTCTTTCTTTTTAGTAAAGGTGCCTTCAGTACTCACTAAAAACCCTCATGGACAGAATGAAGAAGAATCCCAGCCCCATCTAAATGCTAATTTTCACACATAGAAACCTGAAGAGGAGGCCTTTGCAGCTCATCTTCGCCTGATTCCACCTCAGTTTTTAAACGTCCAACTTTCAGCTGCTATGAAGTGAAGTGACTGAAGTGAAGTGACTCACGCAAAGAAATCTTTGCACATTTTCCTCAGGACTGACAAACCCTCCGACTGACTTACCGTGCCCGTCACTTTGACGTCATGGAGACGGCTCCAGTCCTCCTCATGACTATCAACTATCATCTGTCCATCATCCTCCTCCGCCCTCCAGTCAGCATTCAGGTCCAAAACCACTTCCTCCCCCAGCGAGTGCATCCCCACTGCAGGGTAGAGATCTTCAGGAGACGCTGGGATCTCAACACTGCCGATCTGAGCGAACGTTTGGAGAGCCGGAAAATGTTTAGACGCGCGCCCGGTAGGGGTTTGTATGTGAAAAACAGGACACTTACTTCTTCGCCATTCTTGGTAAAAAACACTGTTATCTGTCCGTCATCGGAGTCGAACGATATTCCACAACCGATTTTGTCACCTCTGCAGCATTTGGCACCGAACTGCTGTCCAACGGTGCTGCCATTATAGAGCCTGAAGGGAAGAGACTCTGACGGGTTACCTACCATCATCTAATTCCAAGACACTTTGAAGAGAACTGAGCAAAAAAAACCTAAGAAGTGCTGAAATAACATGCAGCGATTTGAAACAGAATTAATATCTCTTCAACTTGTTACATTAAAAAAGCAAATTGTAATGTATTTTTATTTGGATTTATCATAAAAAAGCATGAACTAATGAATGACTGAGGAGGAAAAGAAGAGGGGATTGTTTTGGTAAGTTTGCAGTTGGGCCATACTCTTTCCATCTTAAATGTTTCAAACAAAGCTCCAAATGATGTTCAGATCTTGGAATATTATACTATATATAATTTACAGCATACTGTATGCTACTTCCCAGACTGGCTGGATTTATACTGAGCTCAAATTACAGAGGTAATGCTAGCAGAAATGTTAAAGTAAGGAATGAATAAGTAGCACTTCAAAATCACAAATCACACCACACTTGAGATTCTTATGTAAAAAAACCAAAAGAAACAACATTAGTCAGTCACATAAAATCCCAACAAAATACAAAGACACTTCTAACTGTAGTTTCACAAAATGTGGAAGAGTTAGCAAGGCTTGAACTGAGCCAGAGATGAACGAATCTGCAACCTTACAATACACTGTAAAGATTAAAACAAATCATCATGACCTACTTGCCATCATCAGCATGAAAAGCTACAGAGTTTGGGAGCCAGCCAGGCTGATGATCCAGCTTGTGGGACTGAGGCACCAAACCGACAGCGATCATCCCCCTCACTCCTGTATCATTGACAGTCACCTGGAAAGAACAAGGACTCCATTATTGCAAGATAAACACATGCCAAGAGCCAAAGAAGAAGCCCTCTGGGTGGGAATGCACGTTTATGTCTGGTATGTTGGGACAAACACGGGAATGTTAGAAAACGAGAAGCTGAGAAGAGATTTACCGCCTCTAGTTTTTCATGACAAAGTCGATTAGATTTTATTTTGCAATGAGTTCGTTCTGATTTTGCTTGATTACATTTCTAAGTCAACCATTCACAACTGTTGTAATAACTACATAGTGACCACATGACATCAGCCTCAGGGCGCCCGATGGGGCACATTTATAGCGCAATCCACGGAGACGAGGAAGAGGAAACTTTCAAATTGTTTCCCATGACCTCATTTCACCACTGGTTCAATGGGTGTAAAAAGTAATAAGCCTGCGTTTCCCTGTAACCCGCAGAGAGACCCCCCACATCTCCAATCAGATCTCCAATCGGTAAACTTTTCACTTACTGCCACATATCTACGGTTTTCTTTCTCTTCCTGAGAACAGCTGAGTCAGAAGAATGAGCCGCCAGTAAGTTTCGGGGCTGAGAACGTCACCGCACATTAAACCAGCCAGGATGTAACTGTAAGGCAAGTTAGAGCATGGCGAACTCAGAAACACTCACTGTCCTTATTTGCTTGTCATGTACAGTATCTAGATCACAAAGAAATGAGCAAACGCTCAGAAACCACAGTGATGGTTAAAGATAACTGAGTCATAAGTGCCCAAAGGTCAAAAATTACAGCTCAAGCTTATCTTTATGCAACTGCAAAGTCTGAATTTTAAATAATTTGTTAGACACAGATTAGTTGGGATCTTCTGGATATTGGTTAAATGTTAGGATTTGAGCCGATTGATATCATAATTAAAGTTTGGCATTCTTCAGAGCAAGCAGGCATAGTTCAGGGTCTTTTAGTGCAAATTCAACACCACAAAACGTTACGCAATGTGGATTTACAGACATACAAGCAGTTCCTCTGACAACGGTTTAAATTACCAAATAACTACAGCTATCTGAGTAATGAGCCTGCTACGTTTCTACTTGTAAAGAAGAAGTGTTGAGTGGTTTTACACATTTATTTTGAATGTTTCCTATGCAGCAGAAAATACGGTTCTGCTCAGAAGATTTCCCACATTCACCACAAATATCAATGTCGTCATTTTGGTGCTTTTAATGATGCAGCTGAACCGTTCTTTTTCCACTGTGGATTTATGATGCATATCTTTAAAGAGTGTTGGAATAGAGGCAACATTTTGAGTTTACTGAGGATTTTACCCAACTTACACAGGGTTAAAATTATATAATTTGGCTTAAATATATGCATATTTACAACTAATATTGAGTTAATTCAATTCTATTCTATTTCAATCCCAAAATAAAGTAGCAATATCCATTTTATTTTAAATACTTATAGCTGAGAGTAGGAAGGATCTCCTGCAGTGGTTAGTATTGCAGCAGGTTGGAAGAAGCCTCTGACTCCAGAAAACTTCCTGAGTTGATTCATTTTTCTTTACACAATCAGCTCCAGAACAAAGAACAGAGGGAGAATAAGGTATTTCTCAAAGATGAATGACATAATCAAAGCAAAACTCCAGGTCTGACTTAGATGAGGGAATGGCATCATATCGTAACATGAAGCTCAAAAAAAGTCAATTCTACACAATACTCTGCCTATAAGACTTGTTTTGAGAAAACCAAACAGCATATCGACACAAACATCTCATCAGCTATCATGAACTGCGGTGCAGGGCTGATGATTCAGGCTCATTCTGCAGCTACGGTACCAGCACACCCTTTGGTGTCATCGAGTCCATCATGAACTTCTTTATAGGAAACTATTCTAGAGTCAATCTGTGCAGCAGCTGAGCATCACGGAACAAGACAATGAACCCAAACACAGCAGTAAATCCACAACAGAAAAGGAGAAAATCAAGCTGTTGCGATGAATTAATAAAGCAGAGCTCTCACCCTGACTAAAATGCGACGGCAGGACTTTAAGAGAGTAGTACATAGACAACATGAAGAGATGTTGTAATAAATACTGGGTCAGAATTCCTCTATAAAGATGTCAGAGACTAATAGGCATGTCTACAGCAACTACTTCAACTCATTCTTGCTAAAAGGTATTGACTAATTTTGGGTTCGTCTATGATAAATAATGACAGTCTGGCATAGCTTGCATTTCTTTGTACACCTGAGGCAAGAATCTGGTAAACTCTCAATGAATTGCCCCATGCAATAGCTGAGTAAAACTCTAAAACTGAATGAGGGTGTACCCCATGACTGTGTATCACATGGTGAGTAACACTAAAGCTGCTGCTTTCCCATTAATAGAAACATGCATCCTGTTGTACAACAAGAACCAGAGAAAACAGGAGTTCCTGTGTGAAAAGAACAATACAATAAGAAGGAACCATCAGCTCTTACTTCAAAATAGCGCCTCTTTTTTGACAAGGGTCTGCCCGACACGAAACAGCCGACCTCGTCCGAATCCCCATGATACCTACAGACGCGTCAGGATCAAGACAAGAGTTATTACTTCAGCTGAGAGCATGCAGCTTTCTCACTTTCAGCTTGCCCATCACTATTACCTGAGCATGTCGCCATCTCTGAACATATTCCTCCACCGATCCCGGTAACGCACTGCTCGCACATCACGAATTTCTCGAATTCGTCTCCTCCAGTTCAGAAAGCGATAATGAAGGTTTATGTCGTCCATGTCTGAAAATCATCCCCAGCCTGAGGCAGAAAAAAACAACCAAAAAAAAAAACGACACCAGATGCATTTAAAACATTAAAGCTAAGAAAAGACACAAAGACATGAAAGGTAGAAGATTGGAAGAAAAAAAAAATCAAACAAAAGAATCAAGTTGTGGGGTTTAAACAGAGATGTCTTAGTGGTAAGTAATTTTATGTGCATCATTGTTTTGTTTAACTTAATACAGTTTTCCGTTGAACTAAAACCAGACAACACTCTTTCCCACCCAATGTTGACCACAAGATGATCACCACTGTTGCTTAACAACAACATGTTTATGGATTTGATCCTTAGGCCAAACCCTTCCCTTTGAGAAGTTTGAGATTTTCCATTTAATCCCATATTCCAGAGACAAGTACAGGCCTGGACGTAGACTCAGCTGCCAATGGGCATAAACATAAGACCAAAACAGTTTTAACCGTGAGATGGTCTCGGGCCTTTTCCTCAGGTCTTTAGATGCTTAGTAGCACTTGTAAAAATGTACCGTTCTACAAAAAGGGAGTCTCCTAACCAAACTCAGGACTTCAGTTCTGAAAATCTAAAAACACAAATACCTCTATGAATGGTTTATTAAAGCTCAGCATCCAGTTAATTTTTTTTTTTTTTTTACATTATTATCCAGTGAATCTGTGCCTGGCTTTTCTGTAAACTAAAAAGCTTTTTATTAAAATGTTTATGGCGCAGTTTTGTAAATCTACATAAAACGTATCCAGAACGTAATACAAGTTATTATCATATATCTTTTTTTCATTACTATTTAATGAACCGTATATCATAACATCACCGGGTATCGTTGTCTACATACTTTACTGCATTGCCAATGGTAGAATAATTACTATCTTCTGAGTAAACTGAATTGATTTGTTTGTCTTTCTACCGACAAATAAATCAGCAGTATCATGCTGCCTGCTACGTCACCCTCATTTACCTAAAACTGAACTCTGTGCGTTTCCTTTAAAGAGGAACAATGACTTGGAAACCATGAGTCCTTTATGGCTAAACTGACGTCTAATACCAGTTAAAAGCGACTAATTACCTGGACTTAACAGGTCGTGTGTTCTGAAAAAGTAAATAAATACCGGAGATGCTCAGTTTTAATGGTGGTGTATGAATACGTCCTAAACCATGAAATTACGAGCCGCCCCTAAACGCAGCCTCGTAAAGTACACGCAGGAGGACTGTTGGCCGGCTAGCTGTTTCCAGCGTTAAAACATTATCGCGCCGTGGGGCTGATTATGAAACGAAAACAGCAGTTTACCCCACGTCACGCCGATGCTATTCAAAGACTCTTAATCTTACGCTGGTTTCTTACTGTTTTATAACTTGTAACGCGCCGTCCGTCGGGTTTTTCTTCTTAATTTCAGGAGGTGAAGTCTGTCACTTTATGTCTAACCTGGTTTCCCGGAAGTCCCGCCCCTTCAACCAATCAAATGTGAGGAATTTTTAACCCGCGCAGTGCCAAAGCGCAGTAGTTTTTAACGTATTTTACCCATTTTCTAAAAACGTATATGTATTTTTCTTTTAAATTTTATGTACTTATTTTGATCCATTTCATTTAGTTTTGCTTTTTACTTGTTTGATTATGGACGTGCTTATTTTATTTTAAATTTATACTTTATAATATGTGGTGAGAGGACTATTTTTTTATTTCTGGCTTTTGTCTTTTTATTTACAAAATCAGTGTTGTCACAGACTGTGTGTCAGAGACCACTGCCGTGGGTCAGTGACTCATAGAGTGCGGAATTTACATCCTGGGACTTTTTTGCCCTAAGCTGCTAATGTTACTCACTGAGCATTTAACGACACACCTTGACAAGTCATTTCCTCAGAAACTGCAAGCAAGTTTGAAATGCTTTGAAATCATTCAGGACACTGTTATTAAAGAAAATACATCACAGGCTGTACACTGAAATGTATCGGAATAAAATAGTTCAACTCTCTTGAAAGTAATATGTCAAAAATCAAATGAGGCAATTTAACTTGTGGATTTCTAACCTTGTTTCTATGGCTGTTTTTTATAAAATTAATGTCTGTAGTAACTATAATATGATAAATGCTTTTATAAATGAACTTGCAATCTGGTTGACAAATGTGTTTATTGCAACTACAAGATCTAAAGCCATTTGTTCTCCAATATAAATGGAACCTGGGTTACTATTAATCAGAGTAAATTTTAGTATTAAACTGTTTAAAAGGAAAATATGAAACAAATAACAGTTTAATGTGGAGCTTAGCCCTCAATAAAGTCAAAAGGTGGACTAGTTTGAGCTTCTGCCTTCTTCCTAGATGTTAAGTAGGAATTTGGATCTTGAAATAACATAATAATTTCCAAGTCAGAAAACCAGTAAGATTTATCAATTGTTGGCTTCAGTTCAAATGATCTCTGTCAGTTTTGTATGTATATTTTCGCTAAAGTTCTTTAAAACTTAAAAAAAAAAAGTCATCTGTGGATTGAAACTGTGGCATGAGTTTATTTTTCATTGAAATAATGAGCTAAATGCCAACCAAGAGCTTAAATCTTACTTATTTTAACTTAAACTTAAAAATATCGTACCATCCATTTTCTTGTTGGATCTGAATCCACTGATCAAATGAGACATCAGAACTGCAAAATATTCCAGTACTAAAGTGGAGTAATGATCATCAAGAACCATCAATTAACCAACTGACAGTACAAGCTAACAGCAATGCATGTATCTGCATTTTTTTTACACTAAAACACGAAGAGGAAAAATATGCACAAAAAAGGGTTTTTTTGTGCATATTTGTGAAAATTATTTAATGTAATAAAAACCACCAGAATTAAAAATTGTGTAACTATTGCAAATATTTTAGCCATATTGTATTTGTGGCGTTTAGGGTTAAGAGGAGACTTCTATATTTTGATCTTTAAATTCTGACTTTAAGGGGACCTTTCTGCACATTTTTCCAAATTTAATCTTAAAATGTAAATCTAAATAATTAAACTACATTATTAAGCTAGTGCCTAAAAAGTTTTTTTTCTTCTTGCTTCATTTTAATTTCACAGAAGTCATGTTTGATCTGCTACTATACTTTTTAAAAGTATGAGATCTGGTGATCTAAAGTATTACTGATGCTAAATATTCATTCAGTCACTGGGTAGACTGGGTTATGTGCTCACTGGACTGGTCTATCACATTCAGGCATTGTCTCCGTAAGTAAATGACTCTCCAGATGGGGAAAAGTCAGAGCAATGGAGCGTTAAACACTGTGATTACCTGTGATTTTTGCCAGTGTTGAAAACACTACAGTTCTCCATGCTGACGGACAACAAACTGGTTGAACGTGTGTGAGTCTTTGTGTGTGTGTGTGTGTGTGTGTGTGTCGTGTCAAACTGGGGGTGTGCTCAGCTGCGTGAAAATGAGAGGAAAATCTAACATTCTCCATCTCGTACCCTCCCATATACCTTTACTCGCTGCTGGAGGCTCCTTAAAAGGTGCTGCCAGTAGTGTCTGTCTGCCTTATCATCACTGTCTTGGCAGGAGGAAATTATACCCAGCTGTTAGAGACAGAGAGACTGCAGTCAGAGGAGTTAAACATCTCTGAGGACAGAACATCTTTACAGAAACGCAGTGGTAGCCTCTATTAGGATGAAATTACTCATGGAAAGCCTTCAAATCAAGAAGCTGCTGTGCGTAAACATCTTGGCGCTGCTCGTCCGGGAGGTTGCTCTGTCAAGCATCCTGACCACACCGTCCAGAGGATGTCCAACCTGCACAGGAAAGCCTGTGGATTTGAATGTGGCCTCTCTGGCTCCTGGGGAGCCGTGCGGCGTCTACACTCTGAGCTGTGCCCCAGGTCTGCGCTGTGAGCCTCCACAGGATGAGCCGAGACCCCTGCGTGCCCTGCTGGAGGGCAGAGGAGTCTGCTGCAATGTCAGCAGCACCACACCGACTACGCAGGTCTACCCTGCAGGTAAGGCACACAGAGCTGCTGTATTAATGACTGTTTCTAACTCATCTGTCGACTGGACCCTATACAGCTCTCCTTCAGCGTCATTTCAAATGTTAGGGATTTTTTTATTTTTTGCTGGGAGTTATGTGCTTTGTGAGGTAAAAAGTGTTTTATTAGTCTGAAACTCTGTGCACACCATCAGCTGATGGTGTTTCAGAAAGAGTTGCTGCAGGGCTGAGTGGATGAATGAGTAACTTTGGTTTAGTGGTGTTGGCAAATTACCAGTTTACTTTGGAAGTGATTGGAGAGCATTTTAGGCAGGAATACAATTTCTGTATTGAATGGTCAGAAAATAATCTCATTGTAACTTTTCATTACTTTCCCACAGATGTGGATTTTATCAATCTGACTGCTTTTCGTTAAACGTGGAACAAAAGGATGCGCAACAGCTACTTGAAAAATGTCCTTTTGCAACTTTAGCAAAGTAAATAATGTGTGTCGTATTTCCGTTTGTCTGATCTTAGAATCGGCGCCAACTGAGGAGCCCAGTGAGGTAAAAATGATCTCTCTCTGTTTCAGCAAACTGCAGACTGTGTGTCATACACTGTTAACACTGCATATGTCCGTCTCTTCCTGCAGGCTCCCTGCCGCAAACTTTTAATGAAAGTCATCCAAGATCTTGACGCCCATTTATTTAAGTCCCGTCATGATATCTACATACCCAACTGTGATAAAAGTGGTTTCTACAAAAGGAAGCAGGTAGGACTCTAAATAAAGAAAAATCATGTAAGAAAATTCAAGTTTCATTCCACGTATTTAAACTAATGATATTTAGTTTGTGTTAGACAGACCACACAGGCCTTATTGTACTTGGTTGACTCACCTGAAAAGAAAATATCTGGCCAGGTGGATGTTTTGTGACGGTTAAGAGAAAAGTCAGAAAAATGTGGATTAATGGCAATAGAAAGTAAAACTGAAGTTGTGTGTTTTCCTACCCCTCCGATGTCCCTGGAGATTTTTTTTTTTTTTGTATAGTTTTGGCTAAATTGATGCTAATGGCTAAACATTTAGCCATGTTGTATATTTTGAGGTGAAGTTCCATTCTTATCTTTTTTTTTCTTTCAGTCGTTTTCATGACTGCTAAACAAAATAAAAATAATCTTTGCCCCATTTTAAATACGCTATCACTGCATCTTGATTAAATCATAATGTTGCCACGTTTAGATCTGCATTTTTCTGGATGTGCAAGGGAACTATGTGAAAATAAAATAAAAAACTTTACTAAAGAAATAGAGTTGATTAAAATTAATATTGCTTACAATTCCAGCGCTGAATGTCACATACCACCTACCATGGCAAGAACTGAACTCAATCATGCCATTAATTAAATTTGTTTTATATATATATATATATATTTATGATGAAAGAGCAATTTTGTGTCTATGAGTCACAAGTGGAGCAAGAAAAAAAATGAGCGACTTGCCCTCCTCCCACTTTCTTATTATGTAGCTCAAAAACAGTCACTTCCTGTACAACCTGCCTCAAACCAATTCTACATTTTTATTTTAGATGGACTTATCTTTGCATAAAAAGTCTTAAGTCAGTGATTTGTATGCAGTCATACACATATTCCTTTTCATAAGATTTTGTGTTCTTTATTGTCAGTCATCAGGCAGAAATTGGTAGAGAAGAAGGGAAGATATACAGCAAAGGTTTCAGGGTCACGACCTGAAGCCCAGACTGAACTCCAGCTTATAGCCTCTGCAGCTAAAACCATGTGGTGCTGCAATATATACACTTCTTTTTAAAGCCTTTAAATCTTCTAGTGTGAAACGTGATTCCTCTGACATTAGTGACATTGTGGTTCAACTCCATTTCCCAGATATATTATTTTGAAATAATATCAGGCTTTAAAGATTGAACGAAGTCCCACAGAAACAAGGCGTTTTTGATTAAGCTCCGATTTCTGCTCATTTGCTTTTTGCGTGCAGTGCTGGTCGTCTCTGGGGAAGCAGCGTGGGAAGTGCTGGTGTGTGGACGAGAACGGCCTCTCCGTCCCGCCGAAGACTAAACGACAGGGCAACGTGAATTGCTGAGGAGCAGGAAAGGCGACACAGATGAAGGAGCATCGGACTAAAACCTGAACTCGCCGTTTCATATGTTTCATTTCTACCAGATGAAAGCAGATCTTCCTCCCCGAGGAGCTGCGCAGTGATCAAACTTTGTCTCCTGACGCCCTCTGCTGAATACACTCGGATTGTGCTGATTTGATTCTGTCACATTCAATGGAAATCGGACTGCAGCTAAAAATAATCCAGCTAAAATTATATACAGAATGAAAGCATGTCAATTATGAACCGAGTGACTTTAACACTTTTTTAAGCAAACTTCAAGAAATCAGTTACATAACATTCACAAGCTAGCAATGGGAAATTACAAACTCTTTTACGATTGTGTTCAGGTTCTGTGATATTTACATATTTTCAGTATGCTTTCCTTCGAAACCACTCTGTTTTGAAAGTACCTGC